ATTTTATTTAAACACGATATTAATATTTAAATTATTTAAATTTAATTAATAAAAAGTACATGATTTGTAAAATGTTCATCGATTTTTATTGAATATTGACTCTGAACTTTTTTTCGAAAATTTTCTACAGTATTAGCACACACGGAATATCCGAGTTTCGACATTGTATCGACTGCATCCCATGTTGCACCCGAAGCCATCAGATACAAGCCAACTTCTAACTTATGTTGATTGACAAATTTGTTTCGTAAGCCTGCTATCATATAGCACAGGCCAACAACAGACTTCTTTGCTTCATTTATACTATAGGCAAAACGTTCTCTAGGAATAACTAAATTCATCATATATTTAAAAAAGCCCTCAAGTTGAGAATCCGTACTTTCAATAATATTTTCAAATTTCACGGGATCCAACTCAAGATTTGCAGATTCTTGGTGTTGTCGACGGTATAGTACTCTTGTTAATGCTTGAACTTTTAAAGCGAATGTTACATCTAATATAAAATATTAAATTAAATAAAAAATTACGTACATATTTTTTTTTTTAAAAAAAAAGACCATTACACTACCTGAACAATTATCAGATTCGATTTTTTTTTTTTCCTGAATATTCTTTTTTTTTTTTTAAAGGATTTTCTTCATTGACTACTATTAGCTTCTATAATTTTACAATAATGGGGATGACATAGTTGCTTTCCTATTTCAAGATACGGATACTTTTGCAGCATTTGGTTTTTATGACATTTTTCAAATGCAAGCTCAGTAATTACACGGAATCTAACATTGGTATTTGTACAATCATTGACAAAACAAGGCCCAAAATTTTGGGTTTTCATTTACTAAAAAAAAAATAATAAAAAAAAAAATTAATAATATTGTCCAAGTATTTTCTAGATATGTTATTTATTTTCTACCTTGACAGAACTTAGCACGTAAAACGGCACGGCAAATAAAGCTTGACACGGCGAAATTTGACACAGCGAAACTTGACACGGTGAAACTTGGCATAGCAAAAGTTGGCAGGCGAAAGTCGGCACAGTAAAACTTTAATAGAGGCGAAACTTTAATCAAAAGCGAAACTTGACGTAGCGGAACCCAGCATAAAAACTTTAAGTACAGTGAAACTTTGACCACGACGGGATTATTGAGAAATTTTGCTCAGTAAAACTTGAACCTTAACCATGCAAACTTTATATAAAAAGGTTTGATTATAGTGAAAACCCTTAATATTATAAAGATTAACGACCCAGTCACCTACTAACACCTATTACCACCCCAACAAAGTTAAACTTTACCACCTAGAACTTTTGCGCGAAACTTTTTTTTTTTTTTTTTTTTTTATTATCGTATTACAGTAATAAAATTAACTTTATATAGAATTGTAACTAGCCAATCAAATTTAATCAGATGGGATCTGTAGATCACATTTTTTCGACCAATAAATTGAACTTCAGTCATACTTATTCCTCTAATATAATTTTATTATATAAAATCTCGTGTAACCATATGTGCATATAGGGATTTCGGTCATGCTTCGCCCCATGTGACGCATCTTATACGTCGCTCTTACATGATCAACTAATCGAATCTCAGGATTAGGTGTAATGTTACACAGGTAGGAAATTCAAAACAAAACGAACATTTTGCCAAAAATCACCCATAACTCAAAACATCGAATATGAAACCACCTTTCGGGTTCTAATAAAAAAAATTTCTTGCAAAATTTTACTATAAAACCTGGTTTTTGTTTTGACTCTAACCTTATCTATCCCTAACCCTAACCATATTAAAAAAAATGTTGTTTTGATTTTACATTACACCTGATCATTAGGGCGACAACATCGCCCATGCGATGTATAAATTATCTCTTTTTTTTATATATTTTTTTAGAATATTGTTAAATATCGCAGATTGCTATATCACAGGTTAATATGGGCTGCCGTCAATAGAAATCAAGCAAATCTACATTTGAAAAAAATCAATACCTTAACTTTTATAGCTCATATCTTGGTGAATTTTAAAGCTAACTTGATGTTTTAATATTCAAAGGAAAACTTAGATTGTAAGCTTCCTTTTGAATATTAAAGCATCAAGCTAGCTTTAAAATTCACTGAGATATAGTATAAGCTGTGAAAGTTAAGTTATTGATTTTTTTCAAATGTAGATTTGCTTGATTTCTATTGATGGCAGCCCATATGATCGACCAATTAGATCTAGGGTTGGGGCACGAGGCATGTCTTTTTTCAAAAAATTTATATATGTAAAAAGTTGTCATATAAAAAATTTGGAGGCATGTCTATAGAATATGTCTTTAAATCGAAAAAACCAAAGGCATTTCCATAAGGCATGTCTGAAAATTTTCTCGTGTCCCAACCTTAATTAGATCACAGAATCTTGTATAACAAAAATAAATGAAAAATTAAAAAAATTAAGAAAAAAAGTCAAAATCTTAAATATTTTGAAATTTTATTATGTAAACTAGTCTTAAAAGTTTTCAACACTTAATTATATATATATATATGCCTAATCCAAATACTAGCTTGAATCTTTACCCTAACTAATAATAATTTTAATTTTTTTATATATTAATCTGTAATATTACAACTTGTTAAATTTAACAAAAATCTATTTGATATTATTATTAGGGTGTTATTTTAAAACAACCTGTTACTATAGTGATTCTGTAATTGGCTAATTGAAATTGATTATATAAATCATATAATCAATTAATATCAATTATCTATTACATGATTTATATAATTGATTTTGATTGATCAATCATATTTACTTAAAAATTTTATTAAAAAAAAATAAATGAATAATGAAATCATAATAGAATTATTAAACTAAAACAAAAAATTATTATAGTATCTTTTTGTCAATTCTTTTAAGTTTTAGCCTTGCAACTATATTTTTTCTAGAATCTAAACATTTTAGTTTTTTATAAAGTACCAAACAAGTCAAGAAAAATTAATATCGTCTGATCTCTAGTTGGTATTGATTAGTGCTTGGCACAATCAAACAAAAATTTGATAGTCAAATACTTGTAATTAAATCAGATATCAAACAATCGCAGATTAATATTGATATACATATATACGTATATGTTGTATTGGTTAATCTGCGATTGTTTGATGTTTGACTTAATCACAAGTATTTGACTATCAAATTTTTGTTTGATTGTACTGAACACTAGTATTGATTTTACTAACTTCAATTAGATATGACTAATAACTCCAATTATGATAACTCTAATAATGATTTTAATTACAACAATACTAACAATGATGACTATAAAAATATTAGTAAAAAAAAAACACAAACTAAAAAGTTAAAAAAGCTATCAACTCTAATAACAACTCCAATAAACCTTCATGTTTTGATTACAAATTCTAAACAAAAAAAAATACCTAAAGAAAAAAATTAGTTCTGATAACTAAACAAGAAAAATTAAAAAAAATAAATATATTCTAAAGATATTTTAGTTTTATTTTACATCTAACTACCATTTTCAAACAAAAAAATATCAAAAAAAAAAGAAAAATTAGATTTGATAACAAAAAAAAAGAATAATAAAAAACAAAAAACTAATATTTATTAAAAAATCAGCTAGCTCTAATAATCTAGAAAAAAAAAAAGAAATATTAGTTAAAAATAAAAATATAATCTTCTATTATATTATTATAGATACTTTTTAAAAATTTATACAAAGCTAAATAAGCAGGCTATTAAGCTAAAAATAAAATTATAAATTTATTAAATCTATATCTTTTAAATAAAAAAAGATTATTAAATTCTATATAATACTTCTTAAGATAATTAAGATTATATAATATTGTATAATATTATACTTGTACTATTTATTAGTTTTTAATAATTTTAATTTTATATTTAATAATAGAAATTTATAATTTAATGCACCATACACCGTGATGCATCCCTGATCATGGAGTATAAATAATAATCATCAACTAATTAAATTAGTTGAATTTTTTTTTGTTTAACGTGTTGTATTAAATATCAGGATAATACTGGGAATCAGATAATACTAGGAATCTGGGGTTTCAATTTACAAATATAAACCCTACTAAAACCCACATATACTCTTTTATTATAAACTCTAATCCTAAATTCTAACCTAACTCTAAAAAAAAAGCTAAAAAAAATGTCCCAAAAATTTTTAAAATTTTATACTAAAATAACTTAAATTCCTAGCATCATCTGATTTCCAGTATCATCCCCACATTAAATATAATTTTTTTTTTTGTAATAGCTTCAGATTGTTATTGCTGTTGTATTATCGTTACCAGAATTTTCACTTGGAGTTGGTGTCATCGCCGTTGCTGAAACTATTATTTGGAGTTGGTGTAGTAGTTTTGGCTTCGTCATTCATGCCCTGGTGAATTGTGTTGCTGTTGCTGTTGTAGTTTCAGCATCATTGTTCATGCCTTGTTGAATTGTATTACTGTTGCTGTTGGCCGTTGTTGGTGGGAATTTGTATATTGTTATCAGGTATGTTGTTTAGATATCGCTTCTTGTATGTTGGTAATTGTTGGTGAAGCCATCTCTAATACTCTTAGTCTTGTTTCTGATACATCATTACACAACAATGTTAAATAATTTTGACAGGTTAGGTTAGTTAGGGTTTGAATTAAGTATGTATTGTTCTTGTTTTCTTGTAGAAGTGCATTATTAACAGTTGTTTTTTTTTT